GTGTGTGTGTGTGTGTGTTTTTCAAGACAGGATTTTTTCTTCACAGCCCTGGCTCTCCTGCAACTCGCTCTGTACACCAAGCTGTCCTTGAACTCAGGGATCCACCTGTCTCTGGCTCCCAGGTGCTGGGATTAAAGGTGTATGCCACCACCACTCAGCCCTGATGACCTGTCTCTTATTGGCTTCTCTAGTTTCTGCTTCTGTTGAAGCTTCTTCTCCTGATGCCTTGGCCTTGGCCTACAAGACCCACAGGAGCCACTTCATAGCTGTGGGGATACCACACTGTTATTTCCCTGTCCCCTGGGGAGGGATGGAGCTCACACTGCCTCCTGGAGCAGCAGCAGGCACAGACTGCCTCCCTGACACCAGTGTCCCCAGAAGTACGGATGGGACAGGGAGCAAGCTCTTCTCTAGAGAGCCCTTTTTATGAAAAGATAGACTCCTCAAGTCCCAGCCTTAGCCCTGACTTGCCCTCTGGAGAAGAGTGGGAAAGTGTCTGGTTAGCTCTGAGTTCTAAACAGAGCCTTGGCCTCCTGGAGATTCTAAGCATCTTTGCATCGCAGCAGGCTGTCCCTGCAGTCCAATGGCAAAAGTTGGCCAAGCCACTAGTGTCTCCAGCAGAGCTGTGGTAGGTGGGGCTTCTTCCAGGGCTGAGGGCTGTCACTGAGCATGTTGGAAAAATACAGTCCTCTCCCCAAAGACAGGGACAATATGGTCACCATAGCATTCCACTGGTCCTCCAGAGAGGCTGCGACCCATGGTGTCAGCATCAAGCAGTGGGCTAGGATCCCAGGCCTGGCTTCATCTCGCTATGAACGTGGTGCAGTGCCTCAGTTTCTCTCTGTGCTCCCAGGAGTTTCACTGGTTGAGTTAGGGATGTGCCTGGAGGTGCCCATGGTGGGGTATGAACCTTCCAGACAGGGGTGTCCCTGGGATGTCCACTGAGGTATCCAGCACACGGGTTCTTCTGCTGACTCAGGAACCTATGGACCACTCAGAAATGCTAATGTGTTGGGGTTTAAATGTTTAGAGCACCTGGAGCCAGCCCAGTGGCTAAGCATCTGCGTGGAGAGCAAAAGGCCCTGGGTTCTGTTCCTTAGAAACTTTATATCACACAAACACACACATACATACCCACACACGAGACACTCACATAAACACACACACACACACACACACACACAGAGAGAGAGAGAGAGAGAGAGAGAGAGCTCTGTAAGTCCAGTGACTGCTGGCTTTGGAAGTGGGTATACACAGAACAGCATGTCACCACAGAGGCAGAGGTTTACATCATACTGAGACCTCCAGCCAAAGAAGGAACACATGGCCAGGTGGTGGTGGCTCACACCTTTAGTCCCAGCACCCGGGAGGCAGAGGCAGGCGGATCTCAGTGAGTTTGAAGCCTGATCTACAAAGTGAGTTCCAAGACCAGGGCTGTTATACAGAGAAACCCTAGCTCAAAAAAAAAAAAAAAAAAAAAAAAAAAAAAAGAAAAGAAAAGAAAAGAAAAAGAAAGGAAAGAAAGAAAGAAAGAAGGAAGGAAGGACGGATGGAACACCTGAATCCCAGGACAAGCAAGGACCCTTGCCAGAGGCCCTGGAAAGAGCATGGCCGTCCTGACACCTCAAGTTCACACTAGAAAAGATGAAGAGTCCTGTGGTTTCAAGTCGCCATTTGTGTCTTTTTGCTCTGGCAGTCCCTGAGTCCCTGGACACTTCCGGACACCCTTCCCCCACGCTCTCGCATGCCCTCTTTCCCTGACCATCCCTCCTCTCTGACCACTGTGGTGGCGGTCGGCCACAGGGGACACTGTTGGAGCAACCCCAGGACAGGAAGAAGGCAGGACGCAGGAAGGTTTGGAATCTATGCTAAGAAAGGACATTCTTCTTTTTCACCGTGATGGGGCTTTGGGGTCTGCAAAGGTTATCAAGAATACTAGGCCTTCCGGACTGCGTCTCTAGCATGTTCCTTCTGCTGAGAGTATGGCCAGGATGAGGGTGCAGGATGGATTCTTGCTGGTGGCTGCAGCCTCAGGCTCCAGGGGCCCAGCTGCCTCTCTGTTCTTGCAGTTACCAAAAAAACAGAATATTTTACTTGTCTTGCTTTGGGTTCCTTAACATAAAAATTGACTCTTTAAGAATACTGCATTGAGGAATAATCACTCAATTACTAGGTTCCTCCCAGCTTTACTGAGACGTCAAAAACTGTAAGACTCGCTGCCTGTGCTGGGCAAAGTGCTTTGACTGTAATGCTGTAATCCTAGCATTTCTAGAAGGCCTGAGGATCAGCAGTTCAAGACTGGAGGAGGTGGCACAGGCCTTCCATCCAGAGGCAGACAGACAGGGCGATCTCTGAGTTCGAGGCCAGCCTGGTCTACAGAGTGAGTTCCTGGCCAGTCAGGGCTACACAGAGAAATCCTGTCTCAAAAACCCAAACTAAACCAACCCAAAATCTAATAAATAAATAAAATTTAAAAATTGTGGACACAATCACACAGCTTGTGTCCAGCCCGGGTGACCTAAGACCCTGTTTCAAAAATACACAAAGAACATGTGTGGTTTTATTTCTTCAGACAGGATTTCTTTGTGTAACCCTCGTGGTCCTGGAACTCACTCTTGGGGTCACACTCCCCTCAAACTCAGGGACCTCCCTCCCTCTGCCTCCTGAATGCTGAAATGCTAACATTTTAAAGTCTGTAATTCATGGATGACGAGATGACTCAGTGGGTAAAGGCACTTGCCTCCAGTCCTGCTGGTCCAAGCTGTTCTCTGACCTGTACACAGGGGCCATAGCATGCCTGTATAGACACAATAAATAAATGTGGTGTCTTTTTTGAAGTTGATTCAGTAGGGTTTTGTTGTTGCCGCTGCCTTTGGTCAGGTCGTGCTGTTTGGTATATTCGCTGGGCTTGTAGCTGTCACTTTTACACAATTCCAGAACATTTTTTATGGAGCCTTGTGGTCACTCTCCACTTCCCCTCCCCAGGGATTCCGGCGATCCCCATCTGTGGCTGGTCTCTGTGGACCAGGCTGCTCTGGACAGCAGAAGCAGACCCTGCAGCCTCTATACTCTGTGGTTTACCCCATCGGTGCAGCCTGTGGCGGCATTTGAGTCATTGTGTGATGTAACCCTTATCTGTCTGTCTATACATGGACATAACTGCCAGATTTTGGAACCCCACACCCCAATTTTACTCTGAGCTGGGTGCACATTACCTCGTTCTTTTCGAGGTGTAGCCTCTCACCCTCTAAGTCCCTGAAGGCTCCTAGTCTACTCTTCCTTGTCTTTCTGCTCCCAGGGAAGGCCCTACAGTATCCCATCTCCCCTAGCCTGGAAGGGTATGGGGACCACACCTCATCCCTGGTCAAGCAACAGGAAGGGCCACACACACAGGGTCCTCTTGCCTACAGGGGCTGGCTGTCCCTCCCCTCAACCTGGGATGAAGCTACTTCATGGACCAGTGATGCCGGGCCTGCCTTGACCACCCTTCCCATAGGGCTCCAAGAGCATCGGAGACTCAGAGCCGCCATGAGCTCAAGGCCAACTCCAAAGCCACTGGTCCTCCAGCTGAACCGTGTTGGGTCACTGCTAATGACACCATGGACAGAGGTAGCTGCCCCAAATTTCACAAGGGCCACTTTGGTAAAGCAGGGCAGGCCTTGATGCCCCTGACTCTGCTGACCCTAACCATTCTGTTCAAAGACCTCCTCTCCCTCAGTCTTTCCGGCCCTCCTGCCATCAGGGCCTCTCCATCTCTCCAACTGCGGACCCCAAGGGGCTCTGTAACTAGCCCAAGAATGAATGAGTGTCGGTGTGGCTGTCCAGGACCCCAGAGCTGCAGGTGACAGCTCTTCTTCTTGCCTCCGCCTACCTCCGCCAGGCCCGCAGCTGCGTCGCAACGCTGCAAGATGGCGCTGCGGCGTGAGGAGGAGGGGCTCAGGGCGCAGCAGCGTCCGTGCCGCCGCCCGCTCCAAGCGCCCTGGCTGGCTGTTCAGTGCGGGTGGGGGCGGCCGTTCATCGCAGCGTGGCACAGCCGCAGGCGGTTAGTGCAAACACAGCTTCCCCTGCCTCCACCAGTGCAAGCACCTCCGGACGAGCCACCCCCGAAACCTGCGAGCACCCCTGTACCCCCAAGCTCCAAGGTCCCCCATCTATCCCCGTGCACCCTCCGCTGCTCAGCAGGACTCCAGCTCCGCAGCTCCGTGCCCACTCCCGTCCGTAACCTCACCCATGACTCTTGGCCTCTGTGACAATCACCACGACCTCAGTGACCTCTTTCTCAGTGGCTCGCTCACCCAGGGCTCGATCTCCACCTCGGGCCCCGAGACCTCCGACCTTCATGCCTCCCGCCTCTATCACAGCTCCCTGCCTGGTGGCCCCGGCCTTCATCACCCTCTCCACCAAACCCCCACCCACTTTGGACCCCCACATTCTCGGTGTCACCCCCCACACACACCCCGTCCCCAGCTGTCTCCACCTCAGCACCCCACGTCCCACAGCCTCTGCCCCTGTCCTCTCTGTGCCCTCCCCTCTCCATCCCGGCAGCTGAGGCCTCCGTACCCCTTCCCTCCGCCCACACCCCTAGTCTGCTGGGACCTGCGCGTCCCTTCCATGCTTGTGTCCCCACTCTGCTCCACAGCTCGGGTAGCATCAGCCTCTGTACCCTCTCCCCATCCTACATCCTCCGTTAGTGTCCCACAGCCTGTCTGTCCCTCCTTCTGCCTCTGTCCCCCAATCCCTGGGCCACCCAGCCTGCATCCCGCCCCGGAGCCCCGCGGTCTGAACCCCCAGTGCTTCCGAGCCGGGTCCCCATCAGAGTCCCGCGCGCGACCTACACGCTCCTCCCCTGCCTCTGTTCCCCACTCGGTGTCCCCAGCCTCCGCGCCGCCCCAGCCTCTGTGCCCGCCCTTCTTCCCGCATTGTCCACGACCTGCGTGCCCCTTCCCTGCTTCGGCCCGGCCCCGTACCCCCAAGCCCCGTGCCCTCTCCTCCCCCTCCCCTCCGTCCCCCCCACCTCGCGCGCGCTCCCGCGTGTTTTCGGACTGCACCAGCCGGAGCCCCGCGGCGCCGCGGCGGCGGGCGGAGGCGCCTCGTCTGTCGCCGCCCCCACTGGTGCCCGCGCTGCGGCGGTGGCTGGGGGCGCTAGGAGCGGGGCCCGCGCGCTCCGCACCTGCGGAGGCCGCTGGACGATGATGCCGGGACGCCGGCCCAGGCCGCGGGCGTTCTGAGCCTGAGCGCATCGCCGGCCCCGGGGATGCCCATCGCGCCGCTGGCCCTGGCCATGTCGTCGTCCTTCTTCAACCCCAGCTTCGCCTTCAGCTCCCACTTCGACCCGGGTGAGTCCGCGCGGCGCCCTCGGAGGCGGCCTTGAGGCTGCGGCTGCCCCCCCACCTGTCTTCCCACGGCCAACATGATGCTGCTGGAGCCACGGTTTCCCATTTTGCCTGGAAATTAACCCTTTCTCTGCCCTGAGTCCCCGCAGAAGCACAGGGACCGGCGAGGACCCACTACAGGTCTCCGGAGGTGGGCAGGCCTTGGGGCCAGACCCTGCACAGCTGGCCCCTTCAGCTCTGGCTGGCAGCATCAGCCCCTGTCTCTTTGGATGCTTCCCTGGCACAGGTAACTGGGACAAGAGGGCCTATGTTGGCCCCAGGTGTCCCGGAGAGAGGCTGCCAGGCAGGACTCAGGGCCCTGGGGAGGTGAGGGGTCTGCAAGGTAGGGCAGGAGCCCAGGCCCGCTGCGGGAGCTTGTTGGTCCACGTTTTGGTGTGTAAGGCCCCTTCCCAAGCCCGCCCCTGTTTTCTGTAAATCCCTGTCCAGCCAGCCCCCACCCCCACCCCCACCCCGGCAGCTTGTGGTGGGTGTGAGGACCAATGAAGACCCCTAACATGAGCCCGCCTGAGATCCGCCTTTACAGAGGTGGTGCTGACCAGCTGGCTGGCTGCGCAGGACCTGGCGGTGGGGCCTCTTGCTCCGCCTGGCTAGTGCATACGGGGCAATGTGTTTACCACCGCTGCCTGACCAGGGTGGACAGCTGTGGTGGGCAGAGGCCGCTAGGGCAGCTGTTTCTGACCCGGATTCTGCTTGCTAGTCTTGAGTGGGAGGGAAATGAACCTCTGTCCTGGAGCCTAAAGTCCCACCCACATGTCCCTGGGGCTTTGACTTGGGCTGCACAGCCCAAACAAAGCCTGGCTCACACGTGATGGCTCTCCTGGGTCTCCCTCCTGGAGTGGGGCCAGTGTGTGCGGTGATGCACCGAGTCCCCTGGGCAGGGCTGGGTCTGAAGGCATTTGCTCCCAGAGAAGGGGGGTTGATAGGAGCTGTCTACTGGCTTAGGGCTGTAAGTATCCCTTGCTCAGAAATGACTTCCTGGGTGACCCAAGGGGTTGGAGGTCACCATTTCACCATCCCACCAAAGGCACAGAACCTTGAAGCAATGTCAATAACCCAATAAACTCAGGACGGGAGTGAAGTAACCTCAGGCCCAGAGCACCGTTAGGGACAGATATCCAGAGACCAGCATCAGAGTTCCAGGATGTCCCCGTGGGTGGCAAGCCTTACCCAGCACCTGGTCCTTCCCTAGGCAGGTGGCCTTGGAGCTGTCGGGTAGGGGTGGGGCCTAGGTGGGTCATAGACGGGAAGAACCCTTGTGCCCTCTCTCCCACCTACCTCTTCACTAGGCCTGCCCTGGTGGCTCCTCCTCTTCCTCCTCCAGGGTATCCAGGATGGGGGGCACCCTTCCCCCACCTCAGAGGAGACGCAGAGGGCTCTGCAGCTCTTGAACTTTTTTGCGCGATTGATCAGTGTAATCACAGTGTGTTGGTGTAATGATCTAAAGGGGGGAGTGTAGGCCAGGGGAGGTCTCTTGAGAGCTATGTGCCTGTGGACATTGTGCCCATACTGCCCCGAGGGTTTGGATGATGGTGACGGGGGAGGGGACCATACTGGGGTAACAAGCCCTGGTCCTGTGTGTGTGCTGGAGAGGAACGATGGGACCCACTGCCCTCCCACTAAATCTGTGTTCGAGGCTCACTCTCCCCCATCAGAGACCCCATGTCTGTCCTTGCTTCTCTGCACTTCTGTTTCCCATCTGTAAAATGGGATGGTAATATGGCCAGGTCTGGGTTGGAGGGGTGAGGAGGTACGGGCACAACTGGTGCCCGAAGGCCCCTGCACCCCTGGAGGCTGAATGGCTTCTCTCTACTTCATAGTAGGGAGAGATGGTCTATCTGAAGATGTCTGTGTTAGAGCCACCAAAACTCAAAGGGAGGCTCATGTTCGCGGTGGTTGAAAAGCGTGTTTATGGGATGCCCAGTGCCACCCCGACAGACCTCAGGACCAGCCTTCGCACCTATGGCCAGCTCTTTAATCATTCTAGGACCTGAGGTGGAAGCTGTTAGCATGCTGGGCCCTTCGCCACCACAGTCACATGGGCAGGACAGGGAACTGGGGCTGAACACAATCATGATGGGTGTCATGACTAGACAAGCACCCAGCAGGGCCTGCTGTGAACCTGGACCCTGTTCTCTGGCATCCAGGATGTAGGATTTGTGAAGGATTTCTCGGCAGACTTGGCCCAATGGCCTCTTTGCTGTGTGGTCTTGGGCCATTCTTTCAACCTCTCTGAGCTCACTCTGCAGGTACCCAGAGCATGACGGTCAAGAAATAAGGTTGACAGGGGTTTTCATGGAGGACAGGGGCAGCTGGGAGGAGTGGGAGCTGATGACCTTGAGGGAATGGTTGAGGCAGGGGGCTGACCTTGTTTCTCCTGCTCTGTGCCAGGTACAGCTAAGGGAGCTAAATGGGCCAGGCCTCAGGGCGTTTTGTTTGCTGGGGTCTGGTACTGTCTCTGGTGCTATCAGCAGTGATGTAGGGGAATTCAGTGAGGAACCCGCACTCCCGGGAAACCTTGGGGCTGCCCCGCATCCTGGGGCTGGGGAGTCCTAGCGCCTTCTGCACTATTTGCTCACTTCCTGACATCTGACCCTGTAAGGTGGCTGTGTGGTGGACCATTAGCAAGGATGAACTCCAGATAAGACTGTTAGGGTGGCCTCTGCCGGGGTCCTGCCTGGGGCAGGTGGGGTATGGAGCTGGCAGCCATACTAGCAGTTTACAGGCACTCAGGCCTTCTTACCCTCACTGTGCCCTACTGCTCACTGTCTCCAGTCCCTCAGCCTATGTCCTGGCCCCTGCCCAAGTCCACGTTTGGCTCCTACGGAAGAGCCTGGCTGTACCTTTCTGGGATGTTGCTTCCTTGGTGGCAGGGCGCAGAGCTGGTGTTCCTGGGATTTTGGTGGCTGTGGCACAAGAGCTTGGTCTGAGTGGCACATGGATAGGTGGGTGTGCCTGGGGCTTGGATGGCCCTGGAAAATAAGCCAGGGAGTCTCTGGGTTACTAGTCACTGGTTCACAGATGCACTTGGAGTATGGAAAGTTGTGACTCACTGAGTGACAAACCTGATCATCACTGGACTTGGTTGAAAACATCAACTAGCCTGGCTCTCTTAGCAGCTGAACCCAGAGTTCAGGCTGTCACCCTGCCTGTGGGCCCAGCGACAGGAAGCTTAGGGCCTGGATTTAAGACAGACCCTACCTCAGTATGACCTCATCATGATGAATCATTAAAGCCTGTAGGTTATGGGTGACCAGGCTGAGAGGTGCCTCAGCAAGGGCTGCGTGTGGCCTGTCTGGCAGTGGTTATATTCAGGCTGGTACTCTGGGAGCAGCCTAATGGACCCACCATTAGGGGAGGGGGGGAGCAGGGGACATGAGGGGCTTCTGCTGCTCTCCTCAACATCCACAGGCATGCCATACCTCCTGGACAGATACTGCACACACAGGCACAGACATAAAAATACCTGCAACACATACCTCCCACACGTCGAATGAGGAAACTATATTCAGGCTGGCAGGACACAGGCATGTCTACGTCCAAGTGCACCTGCACACATGTTACACATGTGCCTTGTGTGCACACACAGGATGGGGGATTTCTGTGAGTGTGAGCGCTCTTTTGCTGGGAGACCTGCTCTCCAGGACACAGGGCTATTGGCCCAGGGCTCCACTGTTCCGTCTCAAGGGTTCTGCAAGTTTTGTCCTCACTCGAGAGATGTCACCAGACCTCAGGGAGGGTGGATCCCTAAAGCCAGTGGCATACCCTGCTAAAAGTACACAGAGATGGAAGGGGACAGGGGTGAGGTTCAGGGGAGAGGAACTGGAGACAGGAAAGGAGCTGTAAGCAGAGGACCCCAAGCTGGAAGAGCCAGCAAGGCCACTCCCCAGGCCACGCTGAACCACCTGCCTCAGCCAGACTTGTCACCAGGCCAGGAAAGAACCATTCTCACAGAAGACACCGATGTGGGGATCTTTGTCCAGACAGCCACATCACTTAGGCGTTTAGTACCCCTCAGGCCCAGGGACCGAGGAGGAGCTGGCCCTGAGTCTATGTGTCTTCATATACATGGTGGGTCCTGATGAGTAATGTCCTTGCTGTTTCTGGCACCGGCCCTGAACTCACGGAGTACTTCCTGAGTAGGCTGTCCCCAGTGTCCTGCCAAGCCTTCCTCCTTGGACTGTGACCACCTGCCTTTCTCTCGTGGCTCTTAGGAAGGGAACCCTGGTGCGCACCACCATCAGGGGACCCTCTTTTCCTGTCCAAAGAGCAATGATCTTCTTGCTGTTTATTTTCTCCCCAGGTAGGGCGGAAAAAATAGGCTGAATGCCATGTCTATGGTGGAGAGCCCTGTGTCACACCTTATTCTTGTCCTGTGATAATCTGGGTCATAGTGCCTGTTGGGCTCTGATTGCACGTCCCTGGAGGCTGGGCCCTGCATGCCTGTCACAGAGGAACTAGAGTCAGTGGGACCAGTGGCTGTAGTCTTCCCCACCCCCAGCTCAGGAAGCCAGCAGAGGAAATGAGGGCAGTGGCCGAGGCCAGAGCCAGTTCCCAAGCTGACTGTCTGGGTGGATGGTTGCCTGAGGGCTGTCACAGGAGGCAGAGTCACGTGGCATCCCCTGCCTGCTTCCCTCAGGGCCAGGGCCAGAGCTAGGGTCAGGGGGCTGGGACATGAGAGTGGGGTGGGGTGGGGTTTAGAGTCCTCCAGAAGGCCACTGTGGGTGGAGCAACGCTGGAGGCCCATAGGAGCAGCACCCGGAGCCAGCCGGTATGTGGGGATTCAGGGCGGGCACTGGCGCTCTGTCCCGGTCAGCCCAGGGTTGGGGAGGACACACTATTCATCAGAACTCTGGACCCTACCAGAAGTCATGAGCAGTTTCCAGAGTAGGCAAGGCCTCTGTAGTGGGTGGGCTGGGCAGCCAGGGTCACCTGTCACAGGTAGA